TGTGTGTGTGTGTGTGTGTCTGCGTGGAGGGGTGCTGTGCTCTGGGCGGAGAGGTGACGGAGCACCCAGGGCGAAGGAAAAGTCTGATGTGCGGCGAGGATCGGTGTGCGTCCACACCATGTCCAAGTTGTGAGGCAGCAGCAGCAGCAGCAGCAACAACAACAACAGAAGCGGTAGGGACGCCCCCATTATACTACGCTCTCTGCCCGCAGGGGGTAGAAGATGTTGTGAGGTCGGAGCTGGAGCGGATCGCGCCGCCGACAGAAATAGTCTGGAGGTCTTCCCTTCCTTCAAAACAGCTGCCGCAGGGTGTTGGGGGGCACCGTACGGGAAGTGTTCACACTTCCTTGGCGGATCATGCTGGCGAAAAGCCGCTTCGAGGAGCTCTCTTTTTTACACTTCGCAGCGCGCATTCTCATGAATTGTCCGCATCAATTGAGGAAACGGAGTGCTTCTTGGAGCGGGCACGCCGTGTGCGCGCGGTGGAGTTTCTCGCGTTGCACCTCCTCAGTTGCCCTTGTGTAGACACCCTGGATAGCGTGGTTGAACCCCTGAGACAAGCAAGAGAGAAGATCCATGCCGCTGTAATTCAACACTTGAGCGCGTTGCGCAGTGCGACAGGGAGGCATACGCATATGTTGGCAGGCTACGACGGGTCTTGGTTTTCAACCCCGCTTACGGACTCCACTGTTATGTTTCGTGTTAACTGTGTGCGTAGGGACAGTGGCGCCGCGTGCCCGTTTACGTCGCAGGAACTTGCAGCTCGCGTGGGAGAAGTGCTGTTTGATGCCTTTCAACCGCTTGGTTGGCGGGTGAACATGCTTTACTACAACGTGGAGTTCTTCGCTCTCCATGACGTGGACCGCGTTTGCGTAGGTGTTGTGCTGACACCACCTGCATTGCCGCGGTGTGGCAAGGAAACGCGCTTTACGGTGCAACTCGGGATGGAGCTGCTCCGCCAGCGCATCGGCGATCAACTCCTCCGCGGTGAGTGCGCCAACACAGAAGTGAAGGCGGCCGTTCCGCGTCCGTCCGCTATTCGGCACGACGTGCGGGCTGTGCGGGGCCAACGGGCGATGAGCCCGGCGCTCGCTTGGGCATTGTGCCGCTACGCTGATGTGCGGCCGGGCATGATTGTTGTGGACCCTTTCGTCGGAAGCGGCACACTGCTTCTGGAGGCGTGGGTTACTGCTGGTTTTGGCTCACTTGTCGTGTTGGGCGGTGATGTGAGCGACGATGAGGCGGCGCGGTCGATGCGCAACTTACAATCCGACGCGCTCTTCCTGGCAGCGGTGCACGGTCTGCTGTCCTCCCCCCGGCCCGAGTGGGAAGGCGGTGAAACGGCCACATTGTGCCGTGCACTGCTGCAGGCTCTTAAGAGCAATGTGGACGTGATGCCGTTGCCGTGCGCACACGAGCCGGTTGACGTGCTGTCGCGAGTCACATCTGTTGAAGCAGAAAGCGTGGTGTCGGTTCTGCGTGAGCGACTCTCGTACCACTATGAGATGGTCGGGCAAACGCTGCGCTGGGACGCCACGAGGCTTCCACTAAGAAGCAACTCGGTGGACCGCATCATTTCAGACTTGCCTTTCGGTATGCGATGCGGTAATCATAAGCACAACGTTAAACTCTATCCAATGATGCTGCGCGAGTGTCATCGCGTCCTCCGACGCGGTCACACAGCAGAAGGTTTACAGGACGGGTTACACCAACCCCATTGCACTCCAGTACATGAGCAGTGCGAGCGGTGGTGGGAGACACAAGATGCTGGAATCGACGGCCGCGCTGTGTTGTTAACGATCGAAGCAAAACTTATGATGGAATCACTTCAGGCCATCATGCATGTGTGTCCCTTTCGGCTCCTCCACCCACCCTTTGTCGTGGACATGGGCGGACTCTCACCATATGTGTTTGTCCTCAAAAAGGAATAATCCAGAATTGTCTTGGAAAGGCACATCCCATAATTGACATGTTCTTACATCTATCCTCATTCACACCAGCACAGCGCAAAACACATGCGTTACTCTCTTTCTCTCTCTCCAACTTTGTATTGCTTTTTCTAATATAAATGAGACTTTGTAACTAGAAAAAAGCCAACAATACTCATGATATTCTACCAGAGATAAGAGAGCTGTTCGAAAGCAGTGGAGGTGGAGTGGCAATGCCGCGTCAGAATTCCAGCCAGAAACCGGTAAAGCAGCCCGGCGTTCACGCCCCGGAGATCAAGGAGGCACTGAGCTCCCGGGCAATGTACCGAACCATCATTGTGGTCGCGATTATATTTCTTCTTCTTGCGTGCCTGGCCGTCGTCTCAAGCGCGTCGACGCAGCAGGGCGAGGACCGCAGTCGGCCGCGGGCCATTGTGGTGGTTGTCCCGTACCTTCGCCCCGACATCCTGGAGGCAGCCATGGCAAGCAACAAGGCACCCTTTCTCGGCCTCCTCTCCGCCGCCGATGGCATCTATGCTCGTCTCCGCACGAGGAACGCGGACCTGATGCCCTCTCTCGTGACACTGCTTACTGGCAGCGAGCAGTCCAGCGCGGCGAATCTCGAGGGGGCGACGAGCTTTCTGAGGGCGCTGAAGAAAGCTGGGAAGACACCCGTTGTGCTTGCGCCGTCGTCCTATTGGTCGGAGCAGGGCGTGGCCGGCAGCAACTGCAGCCGTGTGGGGCTCCTCGACTCGGAGTGCTCCGGCGTGACGTGCCCCGCTGCGACCGCTATGGCATACTGCAACGCCGCGGAGAAGCTTCTCGCGTGCAGCAGCAAGGCACAGCTATACGAAGAGGAGGCCTTGGAGGGGTTCCGCCATCTCTTGAAGCACGACGGTGACCTTCTGTACGTCCATGCGAACGTCTCTAGTGGTACGGCTGCCGCCAACGAGGAGCGCATGACCGGGATGAGCGACATCAGTATTATGGACGGCACGCTGGGGAAGCTGGCGCTCGCCATCATCAAGCGCTCCAGTGAGACGAAGGAGAGTTGGCTACTGATGCTCGTCGGTGCGGGGGGAAACGGTCTCACGGAGGTTCCGCTCGTGATGGCGGCGTATGCCAGGGGCAGTCTGCTGCGCTTCGGTCCGATACCGGAGGACGCGACGCTTGCCGATATTGGACCGACGGTGCTGAACTGGTACGGTCTCGCCTCGATTAGTGACGCTCCGCGGGTGCGTGGCATGTGCTCGTCGGGTGTGCTGGTCGACAACTGCGAGAGCACGACGAATTGGCCTTGAGGTGGCGCGGTATGATGATGCTCTGTAAGTTTGATTTTTAGGTTGTCGTGACGTGAGCGGTTTCTATCTTGTGTTTGTTTGGTGAATCTTAGTTTTTTGGCATGTTGATACCTCGTGCTGTTGTCTTTTTGAAGGTGGTGATGGTACGCTTGCTTTTTGCTGCTCCTTTCTTGCGTATGTTGCGTGGCTTCTGGAAAGGAAGACTCTGTTGGGGATTGTATTGGTTTGCAGCATTCTTCACTAAAGAAAGTTTCTGGGGTCTTCAGAGAACGGAGTTGTAATGCATGTCATCGGAAGTGCTGCAGCAGCCCCTCCTAGCTTTAAGGGCGAGAGTGTCATCGCAATTGGGGATTTCTCGCCAGCGCCGTTGTCCGATGTCGCGAGCGCCGCATCATCCGGATCTTTCAACCCCGAAGAGGTCACGTGGTGCGCGTATCCACGAGACAACGGCCGTCCCTCGCCCTCCCGGCCACCGCCGCTGCCGCCAACCTCCTCCGCTGCGTCAACGGTGAGCGGTACCTGCGACGCAACTGACGTGGATGCTGCGGCACTGCAAGACACCACTGCTCTGTCGGATCTTAGCGTGGAGATACAGAAGGTAGAGGCACGGCTGGCGGCCATACGAGAGGAGGAAGCGCGGCTTCAGCCGAAGCGGGCAGCGCCCACTGCGCCCGCACGCAGTAGTGGCAGGTATTCTTCTGTGTTGAACCTTCACTCTGTGAATGTAGAGTCTCGCGGAGAGTCCACGACAGTCGTAACGAGCGACAACAGCAGCTCTCAAATCGGCCGTCGCGGTGACGCTGGAGTGGCCTTGACAACGCTGGCTAACGCTGCGCACGGTTGCCCTTCCCACATCAGGACGGCAAATCTTTTGAGTCCCCCGAAGCGCCGAAGCGGTCGGGCACATAGAACCAATATTACTCAGAAGGACATGCCTGATCCGACTGCTGTTTTGTCCAGCGAGACGGAGTGCGTGCCGACAGTACCCACAGACAGAACACGCGAGCTGCCGATGGAGGCGGTGATGCCTTCGGCGCCACCAAGTGGGGTTGTCTTTTCACTGACAGCGTTCCTTCGACCTCTCCGTACGGTTGACATTGAAATTGCAGCAGGTGTGTATGAGAAGCTCGATATATTCGTGGGTGAGGACATGTCGGATGTCGCGAGGCGCTTTATTGCAAAGCACAAACTTGACCCAGAGCGTGCATTCAAGCCGCTTCACACGTTCCTCTTGTCACTGATAGTGAAAGACAAGAGCGAAGAACATGTTGCACCTTGTGATAAGGTCACAGCTTCACCGCGAGGCCACGGCACTATGCTTATCAAAAGTACCTCAGCAGGAGGCAATTGGCAGGTGCAGCCTGTTGCTCTAGAAGCACCACAGCGTAAATCCGCAGCCGAGACAAATGACAATAGATGCTCTGCGTTGGGCCGGCGCACAGTCGCACATGTGCCACAACAGTCTGCCAGGGGAAACCCTAATAGAAAGGTGCAGCGGCTGAATGCTGCACATGATGATCACTCGGGAGTCAACAAGATGCTGGAGTACTCTGCAGAAAAGAGTCGTCCGAAGTGTTCTGCTAGATCAATCAAGGATTCTATCCATCACCAGCATACACAAGGAAAAGCGACCACTGTGGATGCCGGTGGCTGTAATAATGCCCCTATCGTCAAGTGCGGCAGCAGGTCTCAGAATTCTCGTCGCGTAGATCCTGTTGCGATGGGTGACGTGGTAAAAGATGCAAGGACACTCACATCTTCATGCAAGAACACTAATCATCCTAAGGTAGTGGCTGTGGAAGCGGAGAATGTTAAACCAACAGTGACACGAACACGTAGTGTACCGCGGTCACAACCTTCATGTCGGTTAAGTGAGAGGACAACTCGATGCAGGTCAGCTGAGTTGCGTCGCACAGCCAGTAGTACAAGGACCCACCGTCATTCCCTCCAAGAGGAGGAACCTGTGCCAACCTTCAAGCCATGTCTTGCACCGCGCAGTGAACTATTGGCTGCGCAAGATGCAAAACGTCAGCAGGGGCCCGCCTATGCGCGTCTCTACGCTCGCACAACAAATTTGTCCACAGCACCTGCAATTTCGGCAGTGGCAGCGGAGTGCACTGGTAAGCCGCGAATCCTTCCTCATAAGCGACCAGCTTCGTTGCAGGAACCTGTGGGAGAGCGTCTGTACGAGCAGGCTATCGAACAGAAACAACGACTTCAAGAGAAGCGATTGAAAGAGAAGGAGCAAAGAGAGGAGGAGGAAAGGCGCTCTCTTATGGCTGCACCACAGATAAACAAGGAGCGGAGGTGGCGACGCCTGCGGGATGGAGATAATCCACAAGCGCACTCTGCAACTGCTGCATCGCCGTCACTACTAAAACGGCAACAGAATCCCCCGACTGTGAAAACGCGTGAAGAAAGAGAATTTGAGGCGTGTACTTTCGCTCCTGTCGTCAATCCGGCATCTATTCGAATGTTTAACATGGTTGTTCAGGGACAGAATTCGGAGGAACATCAAGTGAACAAGGGGAATGTGGGGGGAAAGGAGAAGGGGCAGGCGCCCAGTGCTCGTAGTCGGACGCTCAGCAATGAGGGTTCTCGAGATGTGGCCTCTGTTGAAGACCGCTTGCTGCTCCTTGAACAGAAACGACGGAAGCGGCTGGATGAAGAGAGACGCTTTCGAGAAACAGTCGATGCGGCGACGGGCCGTCCACTTTTCCAGCCATTTCTTGGGCGATAGAACAGACATCTTGCCGCATGCGGTCGTGTGTACTTGTGTGTATGTCTATGAGTATCTCTGTGTGGGTATTGTTTTAGATGCACGTAGAGGGTATGTGGTCCGTACACATTTTCTTTTGTACCTTTCACTTAGTCCCTTTTAAAAGGACAAAAAAAGGAAAAAGAAACATCAACGGTATCAGGGTGTGAGACCCTATCCTGTGTGTGTTCTGTCAGTCAACATTGTGCGTCTATTGCGTTTTGTTTTTCAACCTTTTTTTTTTTTTTTTTTTTTTTNGGGGGGGGGCTGTGGTGAAGATGTAGTGATGGCGATGATCGGTAGGCGGCTTCGCATCGTTTCTCTTCGGTACCATGCCAACAGGGCCCGGTGGCCACTGATTGACAGCTATCGAAGTTGCACCACCGCCTCCAATGGTTCAGCAGCGACAGCAGCAGGCGTCACATTCCACTCGCAGCAGGACCAGGTGAGGACGTCACGTCACGCTCTGCACACTGCATGGGCTTCACTCCTGGAAGATCGGCAGTGCCTGTACCGCGATACTGTACTAGACGCCAAACTTGGCCCGCACCGCAAAGAACTCAAGAACCTGCTGCAGCGCGAGCAAACTGCTGCTTCTGCTACTGGCTCCACGAGTACGTCGGAGTTCACAGTAGAGAAACTCATGGTGTGGAAGGAAACTTGGGTGCGTAGCGAAGACGGTGGGGAGGGTTCTCTCCTAGACTTCTATAATGCCGTTCTTTGTAGTGCTGCTATTACCACTGATGCCGATATACGCCTTGTTCTGGACGTGATGCAGGGTTGCGACCATGTCGAGCCGAACGCTGACACCTACATCGCCATTATGCTCTCTCTCCTTGTTGAGCAGCATACATCAAAACGAGCTGCGGGTGATGTGGTTTTTTATTACTTTGGTCACGCGCTCCGAATGAGGGGAGAGGAGTTTGTTACCGATGATATGTGGGGGGCTTTATTTGTCGTCTGTGCCGTCACGGAGACGGCGGGAAAAATTGTTGATCAGTGGTGGGATCTTCTTCTTAAAAGGTGCGAGAGGCTATCAGCGCCGCTGCCGTACAGTGCTGTGCATGGTGCCCTCACATGGGGCTCTGCGAATCGTGATGTGGAGCGTGTGTTACGTTTTTTTCACACGGCAAACAACAAAGGTGTGGTCATTCGTACGGCTGAGAGGTCACACTTCGTCATTGCCAGCGGGGGATTGACCAAGCAAAGCAGCGACACTATGGTGCAGATGTGTCAGCTGAAACTGCTTGTGAAGCTGATAGTAACGGTCAAGTCCATCAAGATGGACGGTGGGCTTCGTGATGTTGTGATTAAAGACATTCGCCGCCTCATCGCTCCAGAATTGCTACGATCCGCGCCGTGGGGTGTCATCAATGATCTTCTTAGCGGTCTCTCCATGCCGAGTGCCATGCAGCTGCTGAGGTTCCACTCCGCCGCTGCACCAGAAGGAGATGGTGCCATTCCGTTTGCCCTATGGGCCTCGCTGTTGCGGCGCTGCGCTAGGGATCATCACATTGATCAAGCCGAGGCCGTGTTTCTGTTCATTCGCAAGCGTTTTGCGCTGACGAGTGAGCAAAAGGAGGAGTTGGTGGAGATAATGATACGCATGTTTGCGACGCTGCCGCAAGGGGACTACGCCTCCGCCATGGCGCTGTTTCTCGAGCACGTGGTGCGCCACCCCAGTGGGGAGCCGTCGGTGACGGCGAACGCAACCATGTACAACCTCCTCATACGCGCAAGTGACACACGCAATGCTGCAATGATGACATTCCTTGAGGCATGTGCCTCTGGTGTTGAGGTCAATGAGGAGACGTTCGAGGCGGTGATGAGCTCCAACCGCTACGCCGCGGTGGCATCGCTGAGTCTGAAGCTGCCTCATGACTACCACGCCTCCAAGCTTGACGAGCAGTTGCACATTCCTGCCAACGTTGATGCCCACCTGCGCCGGGAGGAGGCGATGAAACTGCGTGGGAAGCAGCTGGTGGACTCAACAGGTGAAGTGAATTGATTCAGACTCAAGTCGTGACTGTGGCCGGCCCTTTCTTTTGGAGTTTTGAAGATCATATGCGAAACGACACATTTCACCCCATGTTTTATTTTGCCTTTATATATATGTATATATATATATATATTTCAGGGGTGGGGTATGGCCTCTAATTGAAACCTCCTTGAAATTTCCTGTTTCGAACCTTCTTGCACATTATTTCCTTATGTGACAGCAATCGGCGTGTGTGGTGTGGGTAGACAGGTAGAGCACACCGAAGTAAGATGTCAGAGTCTTCAAACACACAGAGAAGTGATGTCGACACACACCAAGCAACGCCGGTTGCAGTCCCACGCACAAATATTGTGCCGCTTATTAAGCCACGTTATCAGAAAAAGCAACGCACCAATCACCGCATTGAGGTCACAGACTCGTCAGAGGATCGTCTCTCTGCCACACAGGCACTTCTGCAGCACACAAAGGAGGTTCTCACTGTGCACAATGGCCCAATGAGCTACGAACAGGAAATGTACTTCCATCCCTACGAACTGTACAAGCACGGCAAACATCAGATACACACCCGCAGTATTGGCTACACCAGTGGATGTGATCTTGTCGTCACGCGTGAGGCTATCTCTGAACCCAGTGATGTAGACCTTGGATTTGTACGCCGCCACGCCGAGATCGATAAAGCTATCTGTCTCGACCCCAAGGCGCGTCGCCCACTGACGGAAAGAGAATCAGGAAAGAAGCTACGCCTCAACGCGCCGCGGTACCGTAAATACCCGGGCATCCGTGCCCCGAAGAACCGCAAGGAACGCAACCGTCTCCTTAATGACTACTTTGCCACTGAGTATGCACGCAAGATCATGGAAAAATACCGGGAGAGACAAAACAAGGGGGAATGTGACGGTGATGTATCGCCGCCCGTACGCCCCGCGTTTGGTAACCTTCCCCCCGTCTTTTACGACATTCTTGATCTTGACGAGGATGCGCAGACACGCGCCCTCGAGCGGTGTGGCGTCAATCTGCAGCCCACCGTGAACAACGTACCTAAAAATCCAGACTCTGGTGAAGCGCGCTTCCAGAGTATGAACGCCCGCCTACGTGGTGAGATGCTGCATGCACTAAGCAGTGAGTTTCTATCGAGGCAGATAGATGATCTGGAGCGTGCCTTTGTCAATTACATCGCTGAAGGAGATGCCAATAAGCCGTTGGTGTATAATTTTCGCGATGGATACGGCCGGCTGGTGTGCCACGGCGTGGCAGCTTACTATCACCTCGTGTCCGAGTCGCAATACCAGGCGGACGGAACGAAGATAACTGTTGTCAGCTGGCCCAAGAAAAAGAGGAAGGGATGCCAAACTCTAACTTTACCCCATACGTCATTAATGCAGTTGCTGCGGAAGAAACGCAATGACATGCCGAGTTGCTCCCCAGCCTCGACGCCACAGACGACGCCGTTCGTAAGGCCCGGAGAAGCGGACGCAGTACCGCCACCATTCAATTTGGATGGTACGCCGCTCGGCTGCGAGTCCCTTGTCGGGTTGACGCCAACACCGAAGCCAGAGGAATCGCCGGGCGAACCGAGTCTGCTGGGCATTGCGGTATATGAACCGATGCCAGTGAATGCGTCATACGGCGCGAATATGACCGCCACGCAGAAGAAGAAGATGCGCAAAGCCATGAGGGCGTCTGAGCGGGCGGCGGATGACCTGGAAAAGACATGTGCTCCTCATCTAGACGGTACATGATTCAGACCTATATCTCACTGTGAAAGGCCGTGTTTTGTCTTCGGTCTTTCTCTTACTTTGTTTCTCTGTGGAATGTGTTTACGCTTGTGTCTGCGTAAGGAAGGTTTCCTCTTCTCCAGTTGAATGTCATCCTTTTTTCGTTGCGGATGTGTGTTTTGTTATTATTATTATTGCACGGGTGAGTTTTTTTGAACTCCCCGTCGTCGAATTTCC